TTCAGCTCTAATGGAATTTATACATTCACTATTTATGGATATTAATGACACATTACTTGTGCTCTGAAAAGTCCATTTTCCTTGCTTTGTACTTAAATGGCGTCTGACAACATTCAGCGCCAACCGGCAGCGACTATCTCGCTAAACACGAGACCGATGTTTGTGACCAAATGGTGTTCATTTCTGATGATAATCTGTGAACGTATGGCGGCGAATTGTTACATTTCCTGCTCTGAACACATTCACTTCAAGTATATCCATCATTGCTGTTTTATTTCATCCGACTCAATTGTGTTTATGGTTCGCTGCAGTTACACAGTTGAGACATAACCCTCCTTTCTGTTGACTTGATTAAACGCTGAGAATGCTTAAAATGAGGTAAGACGTCCTTCTTAACTCCAGGGAACAGAATTTTTCTTGAGAAGCTGATAGTCATTCAGCAAGTCAATTAATCGCCCTATTAAAGAAACGGAAATTTTATTCTTCGTGTTTTCTGACTAAAATTTCTCACCTTTTCCTTTGTGGTACATTTATCGTGCATCTAATCCTTCATGATTAGATTAATATAATATTATTTGGTAAAGAGTAGATTATGAACATCTTTATTATGATTTATTCTCACCCATTAATTTTTTTACAACGGAAATTTTAATTGTGAAACATCTCTTAAAGTTAAACCGCACTGCGAACATGTCGTGGGGAACATCTGTGGAAACGTGATTTAGAGATGTTCATTTTTGGGGGTGACAGAGTTTTGAACCATTGTTCTTCGCCATTTCCATTCTGACTGAAAGAATCCACAGCCGTTTCTCCACGAACATCCTCACCTTTAACTGGCATCTAAGTGACCTTTGAACTTCGTACAGTCGTTAAGTAACACAGCGATATTCTCGGGCCAGGTTCTTTGCCAACGGTTGTAGGGAGAGTGGGTGTAGCCAAAATGGGACAGTGGGACACAGAACTTCCTTGACCCCTGAATGATGCATCCGTCGTGGAGCAGGAGACAGGATGTAAGAATACAGCGAGCGAATATTCTTTGTTATATGCATGCCAACAATGATGATGCTAATTGCGAGATCCCAATTTACGATTTTATTTATTAATTAGTGTTCTGTCTGACGACAGGTCCATATGAACAGGATCCTTCCATCCTTTTCTCGGACTGGGACCTGTTCATATACGTTCTTGGCAGATGATCCAGAAGTGGTTTGCCATTGCCTTCTTCTGTGTGTGAATGGAGTAATTGTTGGGATGCCACGGAGGAAAACTCCGTGTTGCCTAGACCACGGCCTTGCCCAACACAAGTTATAAATTCGGGCATCGCCGGGAATCTAACCCGAGACCCCAGGATTACAAGGCCAGCGTTCTAACCGCTAGACCACCGTGGCATTCCAACCTACGATATCGTTAGATAAATAATGAAAACAAGGGCTTTGTTGTTGTTGTTGTTCCATCTATTCACCATTTTACAGGGTATTTACTTCTATGTACCCGAGTCAAACCTTGCCCCTGAGGTACTTAGTACAGCAGCTATTTCCGAAATACATTTTGTTTTTAATACGTGCTACATGTATCATATAGTTTTATTGTTAGGGATTTCTAACTTACCGTATGATATATCGCAAGTCTGAAAACGTGTACTCTTTGGAGTACACTAACATTTCAGATTTGTACGCCACATAAGGCGCATTGACGTCAGCAGGACCACGAAGAGAATAAAAAATGCAACAGTCTGATTTGAGGCAACAGATGTATCTTAGGCCGTTGTTGCATTGACGTGGATCGAGGTCATTATTGAATAACTGCTGCACCGTTAAACTGACAACAATTAAAATGAAAATATCAATGACACAGATATGAATAATAATTGTAATAACAGTAGGAATGACAGGAACTGTCAAAATAAAAACAACAGTGGGAATAAGTTCGGTTTACTTTTCTTGTTAGCGTGTGTGTAAAAAGCAAAGAGTCTACGAGAGGGGAAACTCTAATAAAAATGCAAATGCAAATACAGTAAAAGAAAAGAATAGAGCAGAATTTATCTAAAACAGTCACTGTAGAGGCTTCCCGTACAAAGAATGTGTGCAAAAATCTGCATATATCGTTTGTACCAGTGACGAATCTGAAGACTTAGTTCGTCTCGCACGACTGAAGCACAATACGAACACATTAATATAATTATTGAATATTTTCAATTTAATTTAATTTTTTTCTAACATTCCAATATCTTCAAAACTCAAAACTCTTCGTGAAATATGATTGGAGGATGTTGATAAGGAAGGGTGACCGGCTCTTGTGAAAATGGTATTAAACTTCCATACATGACGGAATTTTTTGATTAGCTGGGCGTGTTTTCTGCTTCTCAAGAAGAATCCTGGAGTTAGTTTAACCTGACCGCTGTACAGGCTCTGTTCACTTTGTTTTCCTCAGTACCCTTAGATTAATAAGACTCTGCACACTGCATCATGTAGCTCTGTAACTAGAAGTGCCTAACCAGAAGATGAAGACTTTCATCCGAAAAGTTGGTAACCGCCAACACAAAACGGATTTATTTCTCTAGTTCGAGGTTAACAAATCATGTCATCTAGTGCTACAGGTAGGTAAGTTGATAGGCCCATTTAGACAAGTCTTTGTTCGTGGGGAATTGGAATCATGAACGTGGCTCGCCAGTCAGACTGTTATGACGTGTCACCGCCTTCATCAAAATGTCTCTGAATCAAGCACTTTCTCTGTCAAACCCGGCTAGCTTTCCGCTCCGGCCGCATTTGTTCTAAGTGGAAGAGACGCCGACATTGTTTGGGTAGAGACTGAGTGGGTCCAAGAGCCGTCCTGGAGAAAATCAGGGAATAGAACCTCGGCCGTCACTTCATCTTTGACACCACTACGCCATCATTAAAATAAACTGCTTGATTCGTATATCTCAAAAGCATGCAGACGTTACGAAAGCGCGTTACGTCTTTCAGATGTTTACGAAACAAAAGTGATAGCCTTTTAGAGCTGAATTATTCTTAAAGTACCAGTACGAAGAAATGCATTATTCGATGTATCGATCTTTCTTCAATGTAAAACAACATGGTGGCCGCATGAAACGAGATATGTTCGGCTCGACTGGATTTTAATCGCTTGTCCATCTGCGTACGAGTCCAGTACGCTGCTAGATAGCTCACTCGCTTTGCATTATACGAGTTGGCTCTCAGATGCAGATAGGCTAAGCGTTCATGAATACATTTGCTGTAAAGCTGGCGTTGTAGTTTTCTGTATCAGGAAATATAATTCACAATGCCAACGTACGAAGGGAACATTTGGAAACTTTGCATTCAGGAACGGAGTACGTCTTTGCAGTCTTGTAATTGAGTAGCGATTTAATTTATTTTCGGTTTGAAGTGAAATGTTCGATAACAAATCAAAATGATATTCACAAGGAAATCAGGTGGTTACTAAATTCTGGAAATACTTGCTACTTTTCAGTTCAAAGTGTTTTGTCTTCCCGTCTGATTTCTAACAACTTAACGATTAAAGAAACAGAACAATAATTTTGCATGTTGTTTTGTATGGGTGCGAAACATGGTCTCTCACTCAGAGGGAGGAACACACATTGCAGGTGTTTGAGAATCGGGTGTTGAGGAGGATATTTGGGCCTAAGAGGGAAGACGATGGGGCGTGGAGAAAACTGCACAATGACGAGCTTAAAAATCTGTACTGCTCCCCCAGTATTGTGAGGGTGATTAAGTCGATAAGAATGAGATGGGCGGGTCACGCAGCACGCATGGATGGGACAAGAGGTGTGCGCCAGATATTGGTCGGGAAGCCTGAAGGGAAGAGACCGCTGGGGAGACCTAGACATAGATGGGAGGATAATCTCAGGCGGAATGTATGGGAGTATATATATAGTCATGCCTCACAATAAATCTATATAATACATGTAACACGTATTAAAAACAAAATAATTTTAGAAATAGCTGTTGCACTAAGTACCTCAGGGGCAAGGTTTGACTCAGGTATATAGAAGTAAACACCTGTAAAGCGGCGAATATATGGGATAATAATAATAATGACACTGTCAATATCAATCATCCGGCTGTCGGGGAAAGCCTCTATTTTTCTCTGTCTCTAGCATTACAGCCTGTAGACTTTCATCTATGAATAGCCATCTTTCTCACCTGTCCGCCCGCACACGACCTGCTATTTCGATAAACTTGTGTGGGGCTTATCTGTCTTTTAATGGTCACAAAATCTGTCAAAACGAAAATTGTTTGAAGATATTAGTCTCTTCAATAAGCATTAAACATTTTCTATGATAATCAAATAATATTATATTGACCTCTCACCTTAAGACAAGAACATAGATTGAGGATGTTTTACAGGTGCTGAGGAGAATGTTTGGGGCTAAGAAGGAGAAAGCACCAGGAACACTGAGATAACTGGATAATGAGAAAATCTGTAGTAATCATCTTCACCTGATGTTATTACATAAATCATTGAGGATGAGATGTAAGGGATGACGTACTATGCACGAGAGAACATTAAAAATTTCACGGAATGTTTTTCGATAAAAAACTCTTGAAAGACCTAGGCATAGATGGGAAAATAGCATTAAAAGAAATGGGATTTGAGTCTATTAGAAGGTCATCAACGTTTCAGATGTCCCTGCTGCCTCCATCATCGTCCTTATGATGGAGTCAGTAAGGACTTCTGAAACGTCCGTAAACTTCTACCAGACTACACGGTGCAACAACCCAGAAGACAGAAATCTTCATTACGATAGATCCTAAAGAAATTGGGTGTGAGTGTAGACTTGATTCAAGTGTATCAATTTAGAATCCAGTGGCAGATTTATAAGCACGATAATTAATTTTCCCGCACCACCTGCGCGACTATCAGCTTCTGTGGTAGTAGGACTGTGTTCACTGTGTGGATGTGGCTATAATTAACAAAGGCCGGTAAGACCATTAGCTTCAGGCGTCAAACGACACCATTGTTACGAGAGATAATTGTTACAGGTCTCGGAAGCGGAGACCGAGTTCCTCGCAGGAAGACTTCATGGACGAGTGCACCGCAGCTCTGGTCCTCATGAGTCTCTCCTGCAGCCCTCACTCGCCCAAGTTTAATGGTGAGTTGCCGATTGTGTTTTGTTTCAAGATTTAACCTGACATTTGCCTGGAATAACCAATGAAAGCGACAGAAATCTTATCACAAACGGTTCTGGAACCGAATATGGCCGTCCTCTGGGTTGTAGCGCTCATGACGAAGGCACCAAGAACCGATGAAACGTTGATGACCTTCTACCAGACTACACGGCGCTACAACCCAGAAGGCAGTCAGCCTTCTTTGAACTTCTAACTCCTACTTGGTTCTGAAACCAGCTGCCTTCTAAAAGTAAGTCGTGTATGTTGTGTCGTAACCTGCTCCATACACCTTTTTTAATTTATATGATTTGTCATTCCATTTATGTAGTGGTTTAAACCAGTTGTATTCAACCTTTTTTCTTCGCGTACCCCCAGATATAATTTCTCTTCAACTTTGTACCCCCAAAGTTGTTGGTGTATAATTCAAGTTATACATAGTATATAATTTACATCTAAAATAAATTAAATAAATTACATTACTGATTATTCAATGTTTATAATAAAATAATTTTTTTTTAAATTTCGCGTACCCCCAGATATAATTTCTCTTCAACTTTGTACCCCCAAAGTTGTTGGTGTATAATTCAAGTTATACATAGTATATAATTTACATCTAAAATAAATTAAATAAATTACATTACTGATTATTCAGTGTTTATCATAAAATAATAAAAATATTTTTTTAAATTTCACGTACCCCCTAAGATGTCTTCGCGTACCCCCGGGGGTACGCGTACCCCAGATTGAATACCACTGGTTTAAACCATGCGTAATAAATGTCCTATGTGGCTTTAATTCATAAAGTCTATTAGTAGAATCCTGGAACCGTATTTTTTCTGTTTGGTTTCGTATTTAATAATTTTTTCCCACAATTTTACAGATAAAAATTTGACTTATGTACCACTGAGGTAGCCTACTCACGGATAACAAAGATAAAGTAATGCCTGTCCCTAAATCTATGCCATGAAAGCGTGTACTGGTTGTGGAGGTAGAGATCCACGGATTTTTAGTCTCGACACTGTGTTGATGCTTGTGATGAGTTTCCGCTTTGCCCCGGGGGTGGAGCCCAAAACCTGTCTGGAGGTCGGAACTCGGACCTCGGTGTATTTTAGGGTACTTTTAGTGACCTCGCGTGGCAAAACTGAAAATTCGAGCGAACAGGTTCGAAACGTTTTGGATCACAACTGACGTCGTTCAGCAATGCTGTTTCTCCTATTTTGGTGTATTTCCTAAAGTAAGGGGGGAATATAACAAGTTTGAAGTCAATTTATCGAAATTTTGGAAATATGTATTTCAGGAATACTGCACAACTTACTGATTTTTTTGTCTTTGTAGTTCTTTAGGATGTAGTTGAAAGATAAAGGATGCAATATGACACTCACAGCTTGCCATGCCAATTTTGAGATCGCCTTTCTTCTCTTTATTCTCAGCCAGAAATTCTTTAAAGTTACTTTCACTGTGAGTAAAGGAAGTGTCTTATTGATAGCACCGAGTTTAGCAATTGGATGTCTCTTCAGCTTATTATCTGTTGGAATCTGTGAAAGTGTGATTATAAAATGATAATAATTTCAGTTTTTTGTGAATTGTGTATTTATCGCCTTCAGTTAATTGGATAGGTTTATCTTTGTGTTCAATAAACGTGAATTTATTGTTAAGTTACATACCGAAATTTTTTAAATTAATCAAATATGAAGTAAGAGTACGTAAATTTTTTTCACTTTCTTCACTTAAGGAGAAAATTGATCCAAAAGTTAGATATTTTGGATAGCAGCATAAACAAAGAATATTTTTAGACACCAGATTTGGAACAATTGATCTATAATTGTTGTCTGATGTTTTTAGTGTTGTGTTTATTCTGGTTGTAAGAAAACTGGCGTGTGTGTGTCACAGTAATTAAAAATTTCATTAGAAATTAATTAAACCAGGAATAGTCTACTAATAGAATACTTTTATTTTTCAAACTGGCACAATTTTCGAAATTTACGAAATTCACTGCCACGTTCTTAGTTGCTTTCTACATTGTCAAGAATTTGATATTTTCGATTTTATATGCGATCAATCTAACAGGTTTACTTAATTTCCGGCAGGAACTCTGTTGTCGTTGTAGTTCAGGCGTAAACACTGTCGTAAATTATTCAACAATTATAAGCGTCTCGGATTTTGTGAAATAATTGAAACTGGCGGTGTATGAACACTTAGCATGGCAGATTGTCATCAGTGAATTATCGACTCGTTGTTATTCGCAGGAAACTTGACGCAAGACGGTTGATGTGAACTTTATATTGGCGTCAACGCTTGCCTGACACTTTTCATACCATCTTTGTTGCAGCCCTTGTGTCACGTCGTTTCGTGTTGGTCATTTGTGCCATAATTCTCGTACACAATGAGTTGTAACAACTCGGCTGCAGATTCCCAGTACCAAATTTAATTTAGGGAAAAGAAGAATGCAGACGGAGAAAGAAATTTTATAAGTTAAGGAACTCCATTGTTTGAGGTTTTCACAGCGGTGAGTATGAAGATTTCTGTCGTCTGGGTTGTTGCGCTGTGTAGTCTTGTAGATGTTAACCAACGTTTCAGAGGTCATACTGCCTCCGTCATCAGGGCGATGAGTATGAGGATTTCTGTCTTCTGGGTTGTTGCGCCGTGTAATCTTGTAGATGTTTACCAACGTTTCAGAGGTCATACTGCCTCCGTCATCAGGGCGATGAGTATGAGGATTTCTGTCTTCTGGGTTGTTGCGCCGTGTAATCTTGTAGATGTTTACCAACGTTTCAGAGGTCATACTGCCTCCGTCATCAGGGCGATGAGTATGAGGATTTCTGTCTTCTGGGTTGTTGCGCCGTGTAATCTTGTAGATGTTTACCAACGTTTCAGAGGTCATACTGCCTCCGTCATCAGGGCGATGAGTATGAGGATTTCTGTCTTCTGGGTTGTTGCGCCGTGTAATCTTGTAGATGTTTACCAACGTTTCAGAGGTCATACTGCCTCCGTCATCAGGGCGATGAGTATGAGGATTTCTGTCTTCTGGGTTGTTGCGCCGTGTAATCTTGTAGATGTTTACCAACGTTTCAGAGGTCATACTGCCTCCGTCATCAGGGCGATGAGTATGAGGATTTCTGTCTTCTGGGTTGTTGCGCCGTGTAATCTTGTAGATGTTTACCAACGTTTCAGAGGTCATACTGCCTCCGTCATCAGGGCGATGAGTATGAGGATTTCTGTCTTCTGGGTTGTTGCGCCGTGTAATCTTGTAGATGTTTACCAACGTTTCAGAGGTCATACTGCCTCCGTCATCAGGGCGATGAGTATGAGGATTTCTGTCTTCTGGGTTGTTGCGCCGTGTAATCTTGTAGATGTTTACCAACGTTTCAGAGGTCATACTGCCTCCGTCATCAGGGCGATGAGTATGAGGATTTCTGTCTTCTGGGTTGTTGCGCCGTGTAATCTTGTAGATGTTTACCAACGTTTCAGAGGTCATACTGCCTCCGTCATCAGGGCGATGAGTATGAGGATTTCTGTCTTCTGGGTTGTTGCGCCGTGTAATCTTGTAGATGTTTACCAACGTTTCAGAGGTCATACTGCCTCCGTCATCAGGGCGATGAGTATGAGGATTTCTGTCTTCTGGGTTGTTGCGCCGTGTAATCTTGTAGATGTTTACCAACGTTTCAGAGGTCATACTGCTTCCGTCATCAGGACGATGAATGTGCAAATTGACCTCAGAAACGTTGGTATACATCGACTATATTACACATCGCAAGAAACCAGAAGACAGAAATCTTGAACTCTATAGTTTATTCTTTCTTTACGTTATTTGAGTGATCAAATATTCTCTTCGTGTTATTAAGACTATCAAATCAAGGAGGCTGAGACTGGTTGGGCATGTAGCACGCACGAGTCTATTAGAAATGCGTACAGATTTTTGGTTGGAGAGCCTGACTCGAAGATATCATGCAGAAGGGTAGTATTAAAACGAATCCTGGTGATCTAAGGTTTGGAATTATTGGATTAATCTGGCTAAGGATGGGGACTCTTGTGAACACTGTCATGAACGTTTTGGTTACATAAAAGGCGGGTAATTTCTTTACCAGCTTCTCAAGGAAGCCTCTGCTTGATGCGTTTAGATCAGAGAATGTGATATCGCCGGGGATTGAACACAGTCTGTCAAGGTTGCCGCAGATCTGTTGGATGCCTTACCGCCTGCCGTGAGACATGTAGGCCTGAAACGCTCACCCCTATGAAGTGTTTGAGTACACGCGTTCTAAGGCTAGTGCGCCTCGCCGGCACCCATATCACCACGATTGCGTTGTTAGCATTCCTGTCGAAGATTTATCGCAAGCTGCTTCGTCAGTTTACCTTGCAGGGGTCATGTATGTAGCACACGGCCTCGCAAGTTTCCGATCTTTACGAAATACGTGTTCTAGGCCTCGCCGCTGTCATGGAATTTGTTATTTCGAAATTCCAACCGGCGTGTTTCTAATGTGTGACAGAAACTTGCACCTTAAGTGAAAGTTGAGGAATGGCAGAGGAGGTGATCAGACTGCAAACAAAGCGTGACGTTAACAGAGAACTGATGTCGCCTCGAAATTAAATCGGTAATTTATGAACCACATTAGTCTACTTTTTGAGAGAATTTAGCTATTGATGGCAACCACCAGAGGCAAATGCATCGTTTTGCACATCACATCAGTTCAAGTTTTTCCTGCTCGTGGGCGGCCTTTATTTCTTAAAAAGACATGAGTCCTGAACTCATTTTACTACTACATTTGACCACAAGCAAACCATTGAAACCCACAGCGACTCATCTAGGTCATCCCAACAGTGATAAAATACACGTAATCCCATGAATTTTTCAATTTCATTTTAATATCATGCGAGTACCTGTTTAACACGAGTCCAAAATAGCTTTGCCTTATGCCTCTGGATTTAGATGTTAGTGAAATGTAACTGCTTTAAAAATTGGGTACTTGCTAATTATTCTTGATGGAAA